TGTGCCAGCTTCAACTGCACTTATGGTAACTACAGCTACACCAAGTACACTCCCTACAACCACTACATCCCTTGGTACAATTGCTGCTTCTTCACTGCACCTTGGTGCCAGACCAATTGCATCTACTATATCTGCTTCACAACCAGGTAAGTGTAAACTGATACATGTTTATGAATTCAAATACACAAGCTAATCAACGTGAGACCCTTCTGTATATGTGGAAGAACCTTCTATATGCTAGGAAAGAAAATGTATATATAGTAAATAATTCACAGCTTGGATTTTTCCTTTGCAGGTGGGCTTGCTAGCCTTCAAGGGCAAACAGTTCAATTAGTTCAAACTGTAGGCAGAGGAGTGAGCAGCACTGGCCGTCCCAGCCACCAAATGGTAGTTGTAACTAGTGCTAGTGCCACTGGAGGAGTGCAGTTGGTGGGGAGTGGAACAGGTGCCAATCTTCTGGTCCAAGGTGGCACAGGAGGAACTACTAATCTTTTGGTTCAAGGTGGTACTTCAGCCAGTGTAGGAAACCTCCAGATTGTACAGGCTAGTGGAGGCAGTGGAGTTCAGGTTAGTCAGACAAACCATTCCTTATGCACTTTTGTTCTTCCTCAATAGCTTGATATTATTGTAAATTTCTAATTGCCACAAATGTTTTAATTTTGATAAACATTTAAACTAGAAACCTAAGATCGCATGAACGAACATGTGACATCACTTTTTGAAGTATGCAAAATTCACTTTTCCACATTTTGTAACCAATATTTCCATTGGTAGAAAACTATTAATGTCTCCTGTTTCTTCGTAAAGGTTGTGCAGGCTAGTGGTGGAGGGAATGTTCAAGTTGTGCAAGCCAGTGGTGGAGGCAACGTCCAGGTTGTGCAAGGAGGACGCTTCACTATTCGACCTGTAGCAAGTCAGGCCTTCACTAATCTACAATCTCTTCTTAAGTAAATGTTTTGTAGAAACAAATTGTTTTTTGTTATTTTCCACCAATGTTCAGATTATTATACAGCAAATACCATTATTATTCTTTCATATATGAATTATATAACTTTGTTGGTTACACAGAAAGGCTTTCTTCAATATTTCTGAGCACATTTATTTTCCTTCTTTATTTGTTAAACCCTTGTAGGACTGGGGACTTGAAAATTTTCCCCTAATGTTGAGAACTAATTAGCTATGCTGAGGGTCTAGAAAGCCTCTCATTCTCAAGTTTGTTACTGGAATGACCATAATGTCTCGTATTTATAATCATGTAAAATCTCAGGAAACTTTCATTAAATGGCAATAATTTTGTCTCTGTATGTTGCCTAAATAGTGTCTGGTAAGAGAATTTTATTGGATTAGATATATACGCTCTCTTTGAACCGACTGACAAAAATTACTTTTCAACTAGATGTTTATCTTCATCAGAGTGGGTTTTAGTAGACAAATGATGTAAGTGTATGCTTTCTTACCTTTCATATTGTAAAGAGAGTATGAAATAAGTGCTCCCAAACATTCCTATGCTTAATTGTAACCCACAGCATTGAGTGAGCTGTTAGAAATTCACTAAAGTTTGTTTTTCTGTAATTGTGAAGTCACTTAAGATCTGGGAAAAGTTTTACTTACTTTTTTCTTTCTTTCTATTTTCTTGTGTAAAATTAGAGATATTTGCAATTATGACTTCTTATTGTTGATATTAAAAAAAAAACACTTTGCTCATAGTATCATAGTAAAAAAGTCAACTTGGTTAAGAAGCAACTATTGTGTTATGCCACAACAACTGTATTATGATTAAAGAATTGGAACACTGGTACATTCGAATGAGAGGATCTTCCATGAATTTAGAGTTTTAATAGCAATATAATGTTTTGTATATAAATAAAAAAGAGAGAAAAAAAACTTGTGCCTTTCAATTCACCTAACCATATGGTGGGGAGAATTATGAATTATTGTTTCCTCTGTTCACACACCGCCCTTGCACCTTATGACAGCAGAGTTGCTGTGCTCATTTTTTATTTTTGTGTGAAATATCTCTACACATAGAAGGCTCTGCTAGCGCTTAGCTACATAGGAGGCAATTAGTAGACCTTGTGTTCTAACCTAATTTCACCTTTCCTTGAATTGGTGGGATTTTTTTTTTTTTTTTATTAATGCTATGAATATTGATGTTATTTTTATCATAGACATTATAATTGCTATACTGTTCTAAACAGTAGCAACAGCAACATAAGATACCGTAAACTATTTTCGTAAATCAAAGTAAAGGGTAAGACAGGCAGTACTCGTAACTGGCTTATTGGTGGCTTAGTACAAGTGTAGCCATCTATGTTAGTAACTTCACAGTGGGCATGGCAAGTATGTACATGTCATGCCCATCGGCATTGGGTTAATTTCAGTGTTAAATGGATGCATGTGTGCGCTTATACACAGGCATTATAGTATGATGAATATATTAGAATCCTATTCTCACACTGTTACTAATGGGAAAGGGCTTAACCCCTTGGTGCCGGGTGACGCCGATCGGCGTGTAAACAAAGCGCTCGAAAGCTGGCGTGCAGCCAAACGAGCCGGCGGCGAGCCAGTGATTCGGGCTGATGTCCCCTACTCACACGCTCAAAGTCGGCGCGCCGCCTTTGTTTGCTTAAGCGTAGAGTTTTTTTTTTGTTTTGTACACCCGGCGCCATTGGGTTAAAGACAAAAGAGGGGAATGAAGGCAAATGGGCTTAGAGAAAAGGGAAAGAGGGACAGGTAAATGGAGTGAACTAAGAGGGAAAAAGAGTGGGAAGGTAGAAGGGGGCTCAGTGAGAAAATGGGCATGGGCTTCCTCACTATTTTGAATTTATTTATATTGTACAACCCATAAGTTATAGGTGATGTACTATCAAGTCATGGCAAATAATCACAGGCACTGGGTGGCTTTGTCCTGGTGCTTAGGCTACATTTGGCTAACCAGACCTTCGTTTTGGTTTTTGATGTCAAGCACATTTATTTTGCTTTGTAACCATTAACCATTAAGTTTGGTTACATTACAGTTACACTCCTCAAAGCATTCAGGCTGGTTTTAAGCCTTTTCAATAATGTTCTGTTACATTACAATATTTAACAAACTACTAATTGCAGTCACATGGGGAAAATTGTATAGTAGTACAAATGTGTTAATAGGTCTGCTACTTCAGCATACTTGCTGGTCATAGTGTTACGTCATTAGTGTGTTGAATCCATAGCTGTTGAATAGTAAAGAATTATTTTTAAAAATCAATTAAATCATGAAATGTACACTAACTCCACATTAATTTCATGGACATAATCTTAGCAATAGGCTTACTTGTGCAATGACTTCCCTAGGTGTGTCACTTGCAGACTCCACCCACAAATACTTGTGTTGTGTCAAGGTTCCTTGCCTCCTTTATGGTATTGTCTTTTGCTGCCTTAGCACTTTTTGCAGTTTTGCCATTTTCCAAGTTCTATATTTTTCATTTGTTTTGCTGTATCATGTTGGTAATATACTGTTTTTCTTGATTAGACTCCAGATTATCTCAGCTGCTGTAACAATAGCAATAAGTAAAAGTGTTGTCTATGTGATTTTTAAAATATTTTGTATTATTTTTTGTAACAAATCCATGCCTCCAGTCACAGTAGGCAGGAATAAGATCATGAGCATGGAAATATTGTTCTACCTGGATCAAGCGCTCTTCCAGTTATGGCACATGGATGGCACATTCCACCTCCAATTTACTGGTGGAAATATTGATTCCAAGAGCTCCTTCCTAAATGCCCACTGAGTAATCACCCTCCAAGATCTTTGTGCATTCATGATGAGTCATTCCCATCACACTGGCCATCAACTAAATACTTCTTGACAGCACATTCTGATCAGCTTGGGCCTCAGCCAATTTTTTTTCGTAATAGTACGTTCCCATCAGCTAGCCTTCCTTCTTTCTTCCCAATTATCACAATGTCCTAATCCAGATCCCTCCCCTCCAGATATTCTTCCTGATATTCACCACCTCCCCATTCCCTTATTTCATTCTCTGGATTGTTTTCCTACTTCTACAACTATTGTTTCTTACCATATTACCCTTTGATTGTTTCATAATAATTCTTTGCAGTTTTCCTCAAACACTGTTATTCTCCCTTCTTCAAACACATCTCTCCATTTGATCTGATTGCCCCATAGACATTTATCCCCATACCCTTTTACAAATCCCCACTGGATTCCATTTGCCTCCCCTCTATACCTTTTTCACTACCATTCTACCCTACAGCATTCTACAACCTTTGACATCTAACACATCTTACCCTGATTGTTAACTCATTTCCACCCTCTTTGCCACAGTACTTTATGACTTTTAAAGTCATGCACATTTATGCCTTCAAACCATTAACCATTAGTCTTCAGCCCATTTTTTCAATGAAAACTTTTATATTGTGCTATCAATGGTTTTACTTGACAATTATATTCACAAATACCCACTGATCTTTAGAAATTATGAAATTATCTTGCTTCTACTGCTCAGTGTCAGTTGTAAACTAACATATGTGGTTCATAAATTTGGCCATTCTTTTAATAGTGATAATGATGTACCTTTCCAGGTCATCCTGAGAAATGTAATGTATACAACACTAAAATGATGAAATAAAGTACATTTTCTGAGTAAACTGTTAAATATGTCAGTTTAAATTATGGTTCAATATGATGTACGAAAGAAAGGAATCATTAGAGAAAAACTTGCACAAGCAGTTTATATTCTCTTTCAGATGATCTATTATTAATTTTTACTAAAAAGTAAGTTACCTTCTTTGCCACTGAAATACCATAAATATACTTGCCTGCCATGTAAATGTAAACTGCACATTTTATACTGAACTTTATTTTCTTACACCATACTTTCATTATCATGTATACAGTTTTGTATAAGACACCATCTAGGGTGAAAGAACAAATGAATTTTCAGTATAATCTGCCAGGTCATGTGTGTGTGTGTGGGGGGGGGGGGGGGGGTAGCATGTAGCTTATGCATGTGTATCTAGATGTATATTTACCCTATAAAGAAAGTTTTTTATTTATCTTTTCTTTTGGGAGAGTTATAGAATATGTTGATATGAATACAGATACTACAATAGCCTTATAAGATATGAACAATTATATTTGAATCCAAAAGCTGCACAAAATGAAATATTAGGAAAAGATATGATATTTAATGATGTTTAATATATTTGTTTTTGTTCTTTTTTTTCACCTGCATTCCTAAACTTACAAAGGTTTATAAAGACAATAACCCAAATCCTTTTATTTCCTGTATTACAATTAGTTTCAGTATATTAGCAAACAAGCTGACAAAGTACTTAAGAATATCATAAGAGAATCTTTACAAAAGAGTTAAGGATCATTTATGACTTGTGACAAATCGAAAACACACCTTGTGCTACCCATACACATTAACATGTCACTTTTTAAAAATCTTACGAAACGTGAGATTAATGCGGAGTCCTCCTGCAGACTTTCGAGGTGGCAGAGCATGATACCAAAAATTATTTGTTGGTGGATTCATCAACAGGAGACTTCCATGTTCAAGAAGCAGACTGACTGAAATGTAATAAATAATATTTACAACATAATTCCACTAAAACAATATATACACTATCCACTACCAAGGTATGTAAAACTTTCTGAGACTTCAACATCCTCACCACAAGCATGTATCAACTGGACAGGTTCCCCTACTAGGCCCCCAAAATCCTTGATCTTGGGCTTGGACCAAGAGACCTCTAGGCCCAAGAGCTTTGCCTCACTGCTGAATGCATCAAGAGCCACCACCACAGATTCCTGAGACTCAGATAAGATAGTAACATCGTTGGTACAGTTGAGGTTGATGACCTAGATATTACCCAGTGTTGCTCCACTGTGACTTTGGATAGTAGCTATGCCCATTACCCAGTCCATGCAAGTGTTGAAAAGTGTTGGTGCAAGAACACAGCCTTGCCTCACTCCAGGGTTAACAGGGAAGAAGCTTGACAGGCCCCCACCACACCCTACAAAACTCTCAGTACCATTCTTAAGGTTGATGTAGGCTGCAAGCAGCCCACAACCGAACTTGCAACAGCTTTCCACAATGCCTCGAAGTGCTAGGATACGGTCTATTTTGGAATTGCTAGGATTAAATCCAGACTGCTCCAGTCTCTGGTGCCTTAGTAGGTGGTCATTAATCTGTTTCAGAAAAATGTGGCAAAATCCTTGCCTGGTATACTGAGCAGTGTGATGCCACGGTAATTACTACAGTCCCATCAATCCCCTTTCCCCTTCCACAGAGGGATGACCACTGCCCTCAACAGTTTAGGGGGAATGAAACCAAACTGCCAAAGACAGTATGCAAGCCCTGTGCCATAGGTTCACCCCCAGTCTTTAGCAGTTCAGCAGGATATCACATATGCCTGAAGATTTTCCACCCTTTGCACCGATTTCTAAAGATTATATTTTGAGGGGGCCTTGAGATTAATTTTTTCTGCTCCTACATTGCAAAATTTCAATTACTTGTCAAATATTAGTGCAGAAAAAAATAGATCAGTATTTTTTTCCTTTTTTGAGGCTGGGAAAATAAAAAATGAGTTATGATCAATTTTGAATAGTTTTGTGTTTAAAGCACCAGGAAAGTACCATAGGAGGTACACAGGAAAGTACCATAGGAGGTACACAGGAAAGTACCATAGGAGGTACACAGGAAAGTACCATAAGGGTGAAACCCACCAGCTGTGTAATGTCCTTTGGTTCATTTTACTGTGAGTTAGTTATTGAAATAAGCATGAAGTAACTCAAAACTTAAGCAAATATACATATAAACAAATACACACACACACACACACACACACACACACACACACACACACACACACACACACACACACACACACATTCTGTATTTTTTCAAAGTACAAGTATATCCTACTTTCCTACCTTTTTCTATCTTCATGCTTTTGGGTGGCCTGGCATCCTGGTGACGGAAGTAAAAGTCACGAGACTGCCCAAGGCTGAGCGAAGCAATTGGTGTGTTGTGATCCAAATCCTTCTCATCATCTTTGTGCTCTCCCATTTTATCACTGCCATCTTTGTATCTTTTGTGGAAAAAAATAACACTGAAATTAACAGACTAATAAAAGAAAAGAAAAGAAAAAAAAAGACTAATGCTATGCAAACTCCTTTGAAGGCACACTGTGCATAACAATTCAAGCATATTCATTAATAATAATTGTATTTCTTGAAAATATAACATTTGGGTGTAATCAAAAAGATTCTTACAATAAACCATGCAAATATATGACTAATTTCAAAGTTGATATTGCTTTGCCAAACTCTTGTCTATTAGTATCACCTGATACTAATAGGCATTTAATATAACACATAAAAAAAATGTGGGAAGCCTTTATGATGTCACACCATGCACTTGGTTGATGTTAGTACTATTTTTTTTTATATTTTAATATGACTTGGACTTCCAGAGCACTGCTTAATTTTTCAGA